CTTATGTTAGTTACTTCATAAAAACTACAAATAATGTTGTGAACCATTACATAAGTACATGATTGATAATTATATTTTATTAATGTCATCATTTTATTTCACATAAAGATTTATACTCGTCAAATTTTATACAATATTAACTTCATAGTAAATATGATTTTTTTTTTTTAACTTATACTCCCTCCGTTTCATAAAAAAAGATGTTTTTGAGATTTTTTTTGTTTCAAAATATAAGATGTTTTGACAATCCTATGTATTTTTTACTTTACTGAATATTGTGCGACCAATAGTATTATGCAGTCTTATTTATAATTGATGAAATTATTTTTATTTTATATATTAAATGATACTTTGTGAAGAAAAAGTAATTTCTTAATCTTTGCGGCATTAGCTAAAACATCTTATATTATGAAACGGATGAAGTATAATTTTAATATATACACTCGGAGAGTACCAATGACGTCATAGGTAAAAAAATTTCCATTTTTCTGTGATATTGTATAACTCTATTGATAAAATAAGTATTTTTATAGATTCTTTTATTATTTTATTTTTGCATGGTTCTATATATCTTTAATTTTTTAAATTGAGTTTTCTATAACCTTTCTTACTTTTTTTTCCAATTTATATAAATTTTTTTTATCATTCGTCTTTCTAATTATTTTAATTGATATTTTTATTCTGTATATATTATTTGGTTCTTTTATGGTTTGTGTAATGTATATATTTTATCTTAATTTTTGTTTCTTAATTAGTATGGATAGTATTAGAAATTTTACTTTTTATTATTTGATTAGTAACTTGACAAGTACTTTCCATTTTAAATCTTATAGTTCTTAATTAATTTTAAGTTTTAACACATTCATCATCTGGTCAATATTAGATACATGTCGCGATCTCGTGAGTTATAATTTTGTTTACGTATCATTCTTATTTAAAAATGTATTACGGTAAATATTTTTGATTTTAAATTTATAACGCCTATAATTTGACAAATATAATTAAATTCTAATTTACGACTCGCACAAATATTTAATATTTATTTTATTATAATATTTTTTTAAATTGTTAATTTATTATATTTATCTCATACTAAAATTATCTCATACACGCTATTATTATAGCAAAATGACATTTATAATATGACATCTCCTTTGTCTTTAACTATTTAAATATTTTGTAACGGAAAGAATGTATTTTGTTATATAACCATTTAAAAATATTACCTATTTTAGTTTGACGGTTTTTTTTGATAATTAGTCCATAATCCTTGTTTAGAATATATTTCTTATTTTAATTTTTAAAATTTTGTTAATATTGACACATGTCACAATTTAAATTAACAATTATATGTGTCGTAATCTGGTGAGTTACAATTTTGCTTAGGTTTCGCGTTCTCATTGTGTGCATTCTCCTTAATATATTTCTTATTTTAATTTTTAAAATTGTGTTAATATTGATACATGTCACAATCAAAATTAACAATTACATGTATCGTAATTTGGTGAGTTATGATTTTGCTTAGGTGTCGTGTTTCTATGGCGCTTATTCTCCTTTATATAATAATATATGTGTTTTTAAAGTAGGCCAAGAAAATATATGGATATCGATTCTATGTTTGAGATCAATATACAGGATTATGATTGAGTTTCACTAATAAAAGCTTTATGTTCTTATTCAAGGAAGTAAAAAGAAGGATTATGATTGAGTATTACTAATAAAAGCTTTATGTTCTTATTCAAGGAGGTAAAAAGAAGATTCAAGGAGGTAAAAAGAAGGATTATGCTTGAGTATCACTAAGAGAAGCTTTATGTTCTTATTCAAGGAGGTAAAAAGAAGGAAAAAAACGTGTAGTAGAATTATTTTAAAATTTTCAAAATCAATCATAATCTGTTAATCTCAAACATAGTATCGAGTGATATAGTATTTAAGATAAGATAA